ACTGAGGAGTAGAGACATGAATCTGCATCAAATTTTGTGTTAAGCTTGAACATTCCATCACGGAAACTATTTGGATGATTGAGAAGGCTTTTGGGGACAATGCAATGAGTGCAGTACAAATAAAAGCGTGACACGAACGCTTCAAAGGTGGTCAAAATCTGTTGAAAGTGATCCATGTTCTGGAAGGCCTGCAACAAGCAGAACACTTGAGAATGTTGAATGTGTATGGGTTAGGTTAAGAGACACTGGGAAAATTGTGTGAGGTCCCAGGGTGCTTACTTTGAAGGGGACTGAGGCGTCATTGTCCTATGTACAGTGTTTCTTGTATCTTGTACCTTCTTCAATAAATGTCTCTATTTTTTATATTACTTGGCTGGATACTGATACTTTCCAGACAGACCTCGTAGGTCTCATTTTCATGTTACAGGTAAGGAAGCAGTTCCAGGGAAGTTAAATGACTTAACCATGGTCCCACAGTCACACAGAAACAGAACTGAGACTAGAACCCTAGATCCCTAATTCCTCAGTTCATTGTTTTTCCCTTTCTCTACAGGCTTGCTTCTTTTCCTTTTTACTGAAAATATAAATATAATAATATGCTTTTGTTTATCTTTTAAAGTGCCTCCAAATCAATTGCATTTTTGTTCTTATACCTTCCAACCATGTGTTTCAAATTAATAGGACAGGTATTATTACCTATTTTATTGATTAGGAAACAGAAACACAATGTTTATATGACCTACATCATATAACTAGAGACAAAAGGAGCCCAACGCTAAAGCTAACTCCTAGCACTGTTCTCCCATTGTACTGCCTTCCCTCAGGTGGAGTATTCTTCTTATATATTTACATAAATAAGAGGGTGAAAAGAATCCATTTCCTTTGCTTGAGGTTTCTTGTATGATCATTGTGTGGGTGTATTTTTGTGACTAGAGAAGTTGAGATTTCTTCCTTTTTGGGTAAGACAGAATGTCAAAATATTTAAATTTTTCTAAATAGATACTTGGTTTTAGATGTAAGGTTTATGGGGCATTTTTTCGAGTAAATTTAAATGAAGCTCAAGTTATTCCTTTGGCATTTTTTCAGAATTGCTTCAGATTGCTGGAATTAGCCCACATGGTAATGCTTTAGGAGCATCAATGCAGCAACAGGTAAATCAACAAATACCTCAGGAAAAACGAGGAGGTGAAGTATTGGATTCTTCTCATGATGACATAAAACTTGAAAAAAGTAATATTTTGCTGCTTGGACCAACTGGGTCAGGTAAATAACTTCCTGAGAAAATTTACTACTCATTTAAAAAAATAGAATATAAATGATTCTGTAACCTGTATCTTATGTATGATTGGGGGATTCTGGCTCTTGACAAGAAAATCTAAGGCCAGTCTTCCAGGTGCGTTATCAGTGTCCTGCAGAGGCTTCAAGCTAAATTTGAGGCATTGCTGTTGCCCTTTAGGCCAGTTTCTAACATCTTAACAGGAATGATAAAATAAATAACAAAAAACTGGATCTAAATAGTAGTAGAAAAAGGATGTAGCAGTTAACTTTTTATTACATACTACTCAAATTTATTTTGCATTTTTCTTGAAAAACTGTGTGCTAATATATTTTTAGTAAATGTTTAGTTACTGTTTCTATTTGTAGGTAAAACCCTGCTGGCACAAACTTTAGCTAAATGCCTTGATGTCCCTTTTGCTATCTGTGACTGTACAACTCTGACTCAGGCTGGATACGTAGGTGAAGATATTGAATCTGTGATTGCCAAGCTGCTCCAAGATGCCAATTATAATGTAGAAAAGGCACAACAAGGTATGTTTTCAGCATAGCTTGTCTGTCCCCAGATTTAGTTTAACACTAAGAGATAATAGAATTCTTATTTTGAGTCAAGGACTAGAATTCTGTAATTCTATAAAAGTAGCTATGTTATATAATTTCTGCATACTAATTAAGGGCCACAAAGTTTGCCTTGCCTTATGCTCATAAGATGGCTGCTAGGGTGAAAACAGGCCAAATTATTATTAGGTCCTTAATATTATCTATCATTGCTTTTCTTGTTCTAACTCAAATAAATTCATGAATTATTAATGGCTTTTAGATTCTCATGTTAGTTGTAGAAATGTGAGAGTTTTCATTAGTTATGCTCATTGACCATAGCCACTCCAGATTCCTATCCTAATGCTTAGGTTAGGGAAGGGGTGAGGTGAGGGCAAGGGAGGAGAATGCTGGATGAGTTTAGAAACAATTTAGCCTGTTGACCTACAGGATGTCATAGATGCTGCATTTCTCCTTTCTCCATCTATCATCTGTCCTTGTTTACATGAAGAGCTTGACAGCTCCCTGTTCAAATTCCTTTAAGGCAAGAATATAGGTGGCAAAGGGTAAGCTAAAGTTTTGCTGGTACCAGCACTGCATATACCTCCTGCTTCTGCGCTATTAAGAACTTGGAAACTTTAGTGGGGTAGGAAACTGTTGTTTAAGAGATTTGGTTATCAGACCCAAATGATATTCTATAAAATAAATTACAAAACAGTTGTACAGAGTGATGAATGGGAGAGATAGGAGTGTATTTTTAGAATATCAAGCCATTGCTGCATATGTTAAGTATGAAAGACTGAATAAATAATCTTGCTGTCTAGCTACCTACTCTCTTTTAAAGCTGAGCCTATCTTGTGTCTGTCTTTTTCATATTATAAATTGAATCTTCCTTAAATTATAGGAATTGTCTTTCTGGATGAAGTAGATAAGATTGGCAGTGTGCCAGGCATTCATCAGTTACGGGATGTAGGTGGAGAAGGCGTTCAGCAAGTAAGCAGTTGAATATTTTGTTCAAGCCCACTAAAAGGAATACATCAACCTCTCCCAAATATTGTACGTTTGGTTTCACATTCAATTAGATTCTGTTTTGTTTATTTCTCCCACCCCAAACTCCACATACCATTTTAAAGTAGGTCAGATCCTAAAACAAAGTTGTTGATGATTTTTAATAACAAATTACCGTGCTTAGGAAATTAAAAATATTTTGAAGAACAGAAAAAATGAAATTTAATCTTTGTTGTTTTTATTCCTCAAAGGCCCAGTTAAACATTTCTAGAAGACTCTTGAAGAAAGTTCTGGTTCTGACTAGACATGAATGAACTATGTACATGTTTCTTATACCTTCCATTTAGTTAGAACATAGATACAAAATAGCATTTCATTCCTTGCAGAGTTATAAC